AGTCAGTATAGTGGGGTATCCTTGTTAAAACTACAAAATGGCATCTAAGTGGGCTAGCACGAGAAAATAGGCATAAGCAGACACACACGCACGCACACGCACGCACACGCACGCACATGCATACACGTTGTTACATAAGTTCAGGCATCACCTCACCTCACCATATCTGTCAAAATACACTTTCAACAAGTTTATTAAAAAAATAAAATACAGCCGCGTTGTGTCTTTTCTGATAAACTCCTCGTTGTGCCATTGAGGCAGACTGAAAGTAGTTCCGGCATAAAGTATATTTGCATTTCACATAATTTCAGATATATACAGTATTTAATCACAAAATATATAACGCGTATAAGCACGATGAACTGCATATGATAAAGATGATGTTGTTTGACACCGTTGATTTAGAAACAGAAAATACAAAATGATTAAGAGATGTGTTTGGGCGGAGATTTAATTTTCTGGTCGAAAGAGGAGAAACTTTCAAATAAGGTAAGGAAGTGCACGAGCATCTTCTGTTATACAACGAAAGGAATTCTGGGTAATGCAGATGGGATTGGGTTTGGGATTAACGGACGTTCTGGTCTTTTTATTTCTGGAAATATTTCTCAATGCAAGTTTATATCTTACACTCTGGTCACTCTCTCGATGACCTCTGTACGTGACTTTTGAGGAGTTTGGGGGATTATCAGGGTGTATGGAAAAAGGCAGCACACTAATCTTCACCCATCGCTGACCCCATTCCGATTGTCTCCCTTGAGCAAACACTCTCCGCCAGGGACCACGACATATATGTCTTTATACCTCACTATATTTGATATAAGCGACTTATAGCACTACTGCCATAGTAGTTCCAATCGTTTGTATTGTCACGTGTTTATCTCGCGGTAAGGGTGTAACTTGAATTGGGTGATGCTTTGAACCGATGCAGGTCAGATTACCGGGCCATTCAGACAACAAATACTTCCATTCTACTCTTAAGTTTTTAAACGTAAATATCACAAGATTTCTTCGTGGTCTGCCCGGGGAACACAAGTTTGGTGATGATCCCTGGCCGCGTCATACCAAAAGACGTGAAAAGATGATACTTGTTGTTATCTACCCGTGAATATTCGGGTTAGGATAGGTTTTCAGCAACTTATTCTTACCGTAAAACGCCACTATGCTTGTCGTAAGAGGCGTCTAACGGGATTGGGTGGTAAAACTCACTAACTTGGTTGATGTATGTCATCGTGTCCAAAATGTGTAGATAGATGCTCATGATATCAATCACAGGATTGTCTGGTCCAGGATGGTTGGTTGGTTGGTTTGTTGTTTAACGTCGCACTCAGCAATATTCCAGCTATATGACGGCGGTCTGTAAATAATCGAGTCTGGACCAGACAATCCAGTGATTGACATCATGAGCATCGATCCACGTAATTGGGATCGATGACATGCATCAACCAAGTCAGCGAGCCTGACCACCCGATCCCGTCAGTCGCCTCTTACGGCAAGTATGGGTTGCTGAAGACCTATTCTACCCCGGAATCTTCACGGGTCGGTCCAGGATGGAATATTTACAGACCGCGGTCATATAGCTGGAATATTGCTGAGTGCGGCGTTAGACAACAAACAGACAAACAAAACTTGTTGTTACCGTGCCTGGTGCTCGGCACTAAGGGCATAAATCAAGGACTGGTCGGCTTAGAGAGGGTATACTGTGTCTGAGTGGACTATCCATGTTTAACAACTGTGGGCTAGCACCATAAAACCGGCATGTTTTTTTACTTGTACAAGCAGACAAAATAGCATGCACGCACGCACGCACGCACGCACGCACTCACAAAGTTCTGCATGCCTTCAAATTCCCAGGAAGAACATTCGAATTTATCATTTCATTACTTTTTCCATATATTGCTGTAAAAGCACAGTTCTAACTTACGATTGCTCATTTTGAACTTCAGGACGGGGATAGCATTATTTCCATATGACTAACCTTCAACAACTGTATTGTTTGACGTTATTTGTGATCACTGGGATTCATGACAGTATTTAACATTTAACAATGGAAGACAGCGTGTGGAGGAAGACGTGCGTAATCGATCATGAACTCTAAATTGCATAACACGTGCCCTTGGAAGCGACAATAAATGGACATTGGTTATATTTGTTCATATATCTGGAATTCCTAGACACTTAAATCATATTCACTGGTTAATCATTGTTTAGGTTTATTCTCAGGCTCCTGGTTGTGCCATGTTGTGCTCTGATTCACTTCCTGTAGCCGCTCAAATGCGCCCCGCCTGAGACAAATTTTCGCGGAAGTTAGCATGACACAAAGACCCCATCTGTATACGGTTTCAACATAAGGCAAATCTCGATTATTGGTTCACGAAGCACGCAGTAGTTCAACATATCCATTGTTGGGAATAGGAAGATTCATCAATCTCACCTTTGTGGCTTGGTCACGTGGATTAAATAAAATGTATTCTCACAAAGAAACGTTTTTTATTACCCTTGTTACACTCCGATGTTTTACTGTTTTGACAAGTGTGGAGGTAAATCATATAATCATTATACTCATTTCCTATTGGTATACAGGATTAGTAGGGGAGAGTCGCAGTTCAAGTGTGGGTCGGGTTCGACTCCCCACGTGGTTACATTGTGTAAAGCCCATTCCTGGTGACATAGGTCATGAGATGATTTGTTTCCCGATTGTCACTCACTCATTTAAGTGTATTAATATCCGAGTTGTATAGAAATTATTATTTTGTTCAGAATACTCGCACATAAGACGCCACGAAGGCGTTAGGTCATGTTTCGCGTATTTTCTATCTTACCACACAGGTGCAGAAGACGTGAATACATGTTTGATAGAATGAGTTAACGTGAAATCAGCATTCTTTCAATGAATGGGATGGGGTGAGGTGAGGTGAGATGAAATATGTTTAAACGTCGCCTTCAAGATTATTGCACTTATATAGCGACGTGTTGTGTGTGCGTGTGGCTGCTTCCACTTGTCCGGTTATGTAGTGCTAGCTCACTGAGACACCATGCCGCAGTTTAACATGAATACCCCACGCAGACACAGTATACTGACTCCGAGCCGACCAGTCCTTGTTTCAGCCTCTTAATGCCGAGAACAGGACAGGGTAACAACAAGTACCATCCTTTTAACGTAGTTTGGAATAAAGCAGCCGACCTTCCGCTCTCCGGGCAGAGGCTTTATCGACAACACCACGGAAGCGTTTTTTAGTGAAGATTGTGACACACGTTCAAAATAAACCCATCCTCGAAGAAGTTCTCGCTTCCCCCACTGTCTGGTTGCTGTTTCTAGTGTATACACGGGTCACTGCCATTTGTCCCATCTGTAAGTGAGCGCGTGAAAGTAAGACATTGTGTGTGTTTAATTTAAATATCATCAACATCATAAGTTATCAGACAAACAAAATGGCTTTTTCGTAGCATCTTCCCCAGGCAAGGGAGTTAACTGACTATAAAAGGCCAGTGTCCTCCCTTGTCGAACGAGGCTGTAATTATGGAGCTATATTTTGGCTATAGTCCAATCAAAATCGCGTAACGGACAGGTGATTAGATCGCAAATGGTAGTTGTCAGGTGGTGATACCAGCAAGCAACATTTGCCATGCTTATAAGAGTGATCATTAACTGAATGCGAAGTTAAATTCTTACAGCAAAGTAAGTAGTTGAAATTGTTGAATCACTGATTTTGAATGACTTGAAACAAACGAGCCAGGGCCGCAATTAGATCCGACTCAATTACCCCATGAAGACCAGACACGAATGAGCAACACTGGTAACATGAAACGACTGGTATCAAATCACCAATTCTTAACTTTCATTACTCGAGTCGGTTTAGAACCATGGCACATCAATTTGGTAAAAAATACACAAATGACTTGATTATTCTTAATGCTAATTCGGAAACAGCAGCTTCTCCCCCAATTACAAGCGTACATGGGTCTGATGATGTCGGACAAAAAGAAAAGCCTCGGGGTATACTCAGCAAATTTGATTCAGATCTCCTAAACACGACTTTATTTGTTTGCCAGTTCAAATTGTATGTCAATCTAGCCCTATACACACAGAAGCTGCCTGAGTATTGTCATGTGATATAAATATCTCAAAAGTGTGAGTTGGTTTCAACATCCCTTTACACAGTATTCCAGTTATATCACGGGGTGTCAGCTTAATGTGGAAGGAAAGCACGAGGTGATGCAGGTCTCAGACGTTTACCACTTTGGTGGAACCCATGAGTACGGGAAAGGTTCTGACAAACCAAGAAACAACCGGAGAGAACCGGGAGTCGCACCCACTATCACAGGTCTTTGAGGCGCAACTCTGCACAACGCCTTGCTACGCTTGGGCGACTGGGCTACCCTTGTCGCATAAAATGCACAGGAGAAGACAGAGGACGTGGATCATGAAGTCAACCGGGTTTGAAGAGGTCGTCAGAGACCCATGCTTACCGTAAAAGGCCACTATGCTTGTCATAAGAGGCGACTAACGGGATCGGGTGGTCAGGCTCGCTGATTTGGTTGATGCATGTCATCGTATCCCAATTGCGTGGATCGATGCTCATGATGTCAATCACTGGATTCTCTGATCCATGGCCTGAGATTCAGAACAAGATGCTTTGAGTTCTTACTGAAAATGAATCAAAAGAAGTGCACATGATGGCAACAACAACAACAACAACAGCAACAACGTGTAGAGTTCATTAAAGGAACGTGAGATGTGACTGACGGGATCGGATGGTCAGACTCGCTGACTTTGATGATGCATGTCATCGTATCCCAATTGCGTGGATCGGTGCTAATGATATCAATCACTGGGTTGTCTGCTCCAGGCTCGATTAATTACAGAACGCCGTCATATAGCTGGAAATTGCTTAGTGCGGCGTTAAACAACAAACAATCAAACAATCATTAAAGGAATGTGTTGTTGTTTTTGTTTTCCATCATACGAACATTTAACAACCTAATTAACCTTTTACTTCCAGAGACAGTTTAACAAGAACAGTGGCAGGTGTGGCATATGCGGAGACCCCTGGGACGCCACCGACAAGGAGAACGAGGCTGGGGGAAAGTACGCCAGTGGCATTATAAGTAAAACCTACAATGAGGGGGATCGGATGGCTGTGGAGGTGGTCATCACCTCCAACCACAAGGGTTACTTTGAGTTCCGACTGTGTCCACACAACAATGTCCACACACCGGCGACCCAGGCCTGTCTGGATCAACACCTGCTACAAGTAGAGGTTAACAGGGTGATGGCAACCAAGTACCAGCTTGGGACGGGTACCGGCACCTTCCGTATGAACGTTCTACTACCTCAGGGCGTCACATGCTCCCAGTGCATCTTTCAGTGGAAGTATCGGACAGGTTGGTCTATTTCACAGACAAATAAATAGTTTAGGAATAGCCGGGCGATCTGTATCAAGTACGTTCATCTCGGACAGGCAGGGTGAGGTAAAACGTCGCATTCGAGATTACCGCACTTATATAGACACGTGCATGTGTGTGTAAGTGTGCGTGTAAGTGTGCGTGCGTGCGTGCGTGCGTGCGTGCGTGCGTGCGTGGATGTCTCTTGCATGCGTGCGTGTGGCTGCTTGTACTTGCCCGTACTAATGCCGGTTTTTTGTTTGCCCGACCACTGAGAAACATGCCGCTGTTTAAATGGATACCCCACTCAGAAACAGGGTACTGACTCCGAGCAGACCAGTCCTTGTTTTATCCCCTTAATGAGGAGCGTCAGGCAGGGTAATAAAAAATATCATCTTGTCAGTATGACGCGGCCAGGGGATCGAACCACAGACTATCCACAAGACCACGGAGACGGTCTCATATAATAATGACAAGAAATGCAAAGAAATGTTAAATCAAAACGTGATTGTCATAGTGTCGTTAGGTATCGAGTATTTTAGGTTTTACATCTTCTTTTAAGAGTGAGTGAGTGAGTGAGTATTGTTTTACGCCACTTTTAGCAATATTCCAGCACTATCACGGCGGGGGACACCAGAAATGGGCTTCACACATTATACCCATGTCGGGAATCGAACCCGGGTCTTCGGCGTGACGAGCGAACGTTTTAACCACTAGGCTACCCGACCGACCCTCTTCTTTTAAGAACGATGGGGAGTACTTCTGTTTTCGGGCGTGGCCACCAGGAGAAACTCACTAAATCGGCGCTGGGCAGCATGTAACCATATAAAAATTGCATCAGTGAATGATTTCAACTCATATTGATGCAGTTTCAGCAGCTCGTATGCGGCGCGCTGACATTGGTCTAATTTTTTTCGATCGCTCAAACAATTTCTTTTTTGTAAATGTTGCCAAATCACACCGGGAAGACTATCATGGACACATGAGCATGTTCAATCATTTTTACAATTATAAATTAAAAAGCTTCGTTACGCTACAGATCGTGAACTGGAAATTGCTGCATGGATCTTCGGGGAATTCTGCGTACACAATACAATGAGCATTATTGAATGGGGTTTTGTGGGGTTTAAATTAAACAAAATTAATGTCGTAAAAAGGTTTCAAGACTGAAAACGCTACAGATCGGGAACTAGAAATTGCTGCACGGATCTTTGGGGAATTCTGCGTACACAATACAATGACGTCATAATTGAATGAGGAAAGCATAATTGAATGAGGTTTTGTAGGGATTATATTAAACAAAATAAATGTCGTAAACAGGCTTCAAGACTGAAAATGCAGACGAACCAATTATCTACATAATTTGCCAAAACAGGACTTTGTATTACTAACAGATGTTCAACTTCAAACTGAGTCGTGATAAACTGCTTGAAGGTTGATGGTTTATCAGCTGCTCTAATTACTGGTATTTGACTTCACCGTCTTCCTCATTCCTGAACAAATAATAGTTGCCTTCTCACTGGGATCCAGTACATGTGACGCAAACATTCCCCTTTCAACATTCCGACCCGTTGCACAGCCTGATCGCAACCCACCCATGTGTATCGACTACTGGGTGATCAGGGAGGATTTATTGCGAGGACTGTGAAAGTCGTGACGTTTGACTTCCTCTCTCTCTCTCAAAGACACAAGTAAATGAGCATATTGTAGATATATCACCAGGACATTTATTGTCATAGGAAACAGATTCTTGAGACCATTGTTCGTGTTCGTCTACCCTTACAAAGTGACATGACCTAAAGGTTGGTATTTATCGCTAAGGAAGTTTCTCTCATATCGAGAATATTCCGCAGCGCAGATAGTGCAGGAAAACAGTCGATATTTAAGGCATATACTGCACTGCGTGATACATTCGTGCACTGGTGTGACGGTATTGGTGTTGGATCCAGTGTAATAAACATACTATGTGGTTGAAAACAAATTAATCTATTTGGGAGAAATACGTCTGTTTCAAAACGGAAAGTCCGCTTTGAAATATGACAGCTTTACCTTCCTAAAACCGAGTTATACTTAGAAATATTGATATGACTGTTTAGTGGTTGATATTAACAGACAAAGCTAAAATATACGTGGTTCTTACTTTCCCTCATGACTGTACTGAGTGCTCTCAAGATAAATGCCATTTCGTGTTTCTATTTAATACTTTTGTTTTTCGTTGCTAGGCAACAACTGGGGGTGTGAAGGTTCAGACTGTGGTTTAGGCAAGGGTCCTCAAGAACACTTCGTCAACTGTGCCGACATTGAAATAACACAAAGCGGGCAACCTCAGACGCAGACTCCGGACCCTTTCCAAACTTCGACCCCCAACCCGACCCCACGTACTACTCCCGTTCCGACGCCAGCTGCCACACTTCAACCATCGACTGCAGCACCAGCAACATTGGCTCCAACAACTTCTCCCAGCAACGTCAACTACGACAACTGCCGAGCAATAGGAGAGTGGACAGGACAGATTGGAATGACAAACTGGTGTAAGACAAACTGCGCCCTCGGGAACTGCCCGGCTTCTCATTGCCTCTGTGGAGCATCAACCTTGGCTCCAACTTCTCTTTGCCTCTGTGATGCATCAACGTTGGCTCCAACTTCCAACTACGACAACTGCCGAGCGATAGGAGCCTGGACAGGACAGATTGGAATGACAAACTGGTGTAAGACAAACTGCGCCCTCGGGAACTGCCCGGCTTCTCGTTGCCTCTGTGGAGCATCAACGTTGGCTCCAACTTCCAACTACGACAACTGCCGAGCAATAGGAGAGTGGACAGGACAGATTGGAATGACAAACTGGTGTAAGACAAACTGCGCCCTCGGGAACTGCCCGGCTTCTCATTGCCTCTGTGGAGCATCAACCTTGGCTCCAACTTCCAACTACGACAACTGCCGAGCGATAGGAGCCTGGACAGGACAGATTGGAATGACAAACTGGTGTAAGACAAACTGCGCCCTCGGGAACTGCCCGGCTTCTCATTGCCTCTGTGGAGCATCAACGTTGGCTCCAACTTCCAACTACGACAACTGCCGAGCAATAGGAGAGTGGACAGGACAGATTGGAATGACAAACTGGTGTAAGACGAACTGCGCTCACAATCCCCCATTTTGTCCATCCAGCCGCTGTGACTGCAGTTAGAGATGCTCTCACACCGAAGCATGCCATTATTATGTATTCAATGCTTAATGCACTTTCCACCATAGTCGCACACAGTACATTCAAGCCGTTATAATCCACGCCTACGACCTCCGCCATTTTGAAAATTCCGACAAAAATCTGACGCGGCTTGTCAAAACTTAAATATTGTGAAAAATTATGTACTCATCCATTGAATTCAGGCGAACGTTTTGCAATCGATAAACATCGTGTTACATTTGCCCAACGATGCATTGACAAGAACCAGGGACATGCTTCAACATTTCTTAATAAACAATTAGTAGGAAAACAATACGCGCCCAGCAGGTCGTTTTACATATTACCCACTGTGGTCGAATGACACACCGACAAGAAATGTGTTTTCACTGTCATCTTGTAGTGTTGTGGTGACGTCGCGTTAACAATGCGTGATGTAATGAACAATGGCTGGCGTAATATTATTTTGTACTCAACAAAGCAGCAAGGGCAAGTCATGGTGCTTGAAAGATTTACCAACATTGAATATCACTTCTGAGAAGTTATTACAACCCTCAATACCTGACGACGGAACTAAAGGGACACATCTTGATACTTTGATAAGAAAATCGATATTTTGTGCTGTGTGTTTTAGATAACATTGAAGCTTGGCACATCATAAAAGAAAGACAAAAAAGGAACATGTTCCCAATACTTTAGAAACAGTGATTTTTGTAGACGTCTCAGATAACTTTTGGCCATTTCTCACACAATGTTCCCTGTTGGCCAAGGCTGAAAATATTATCTTGTCCCCATTAACCAGAGGTTGCAGCATGTCATATTCTGAAATCTGATATACAGTCGGTATGTGGTCCGTCTGATGACATTACATTTTGTCGTGTAGTTTGCCGCTAGACACAACTTGGACTTTTGACCTCCGTGTACCACTGTGACTGCCATGGCAACCGTGTTAAGCTGATCTCTCCAGCTCATGCTTCATCTCTCCACGTGCAATGTGTTCACGGAGACAGGGTGTCGGTATAGAAATTTAAGTTACTTTTGATATATTCTTGTGCGCATTTCCTTAATTAGCACCTTTCAAAGCACTTTTACATTTGTTTGATAAAGAAGGGGTATATTTGTGATCACTTAGTACTGGATGAATGTCATCTTCCCAAGGCAAGTTGTCCAAGGTACAGAAAATCGCCGTGAAGAGTTGCACCCATTAGCCCTGCCAGGATACTGTGATTCTCCACGATTACGATCCTTGGCTTGTCAGAACGGGTTTCAACAACGTGGTAAATGGCTACCAGGCGTTCCAGTCCTTTAATGCAGTAACAATAAATAACAATAAATAAATAACAATCAATAAACAGTGAAGACAGGTTAAATAAAGCCTTCAGGGTCTGAGCTAAACATGGTGCACTGTGACCAAGTTTTCTGTGGGACAAATATGCACCTCGTACGCATTCTAATACACACAAGTGCTTTTTTTTTGTTGCGATGCTTGAATTATTAAATATATTTTTCAACTATCCCGACTTGGTGAACTTTGTTTAATTGCGATGTAGTCCCGATTAAGTTTTACCTCGGAATATTTGTTATTGGATAGATTATGTCCCTTGGTAGTATAATTGCATTTACGACGGCGAGTCAAAGTGACCACAGCTTCGTCACACTACAATGCATCGTTCGGGATTACTCCGGTCCTTCCGGGACAAGCTGAATGCGGGTTGTGAGAAAGCATTCATGACCAACTCGTCCCATTCCGGGACAAGCCGAATGTTGTAGGATTCAGAAACGTGCGAGTGGTGACGAACAGCAAGAAAGGTGCAACCGTCTCCGCTTTAAAGCTCAGAAAAAGATGAAAAATTACAGAGATACGTTGTGTGTTTCACAACCAGATCGACAATAAATAGATAAGTAAAAATTATCTGTATAAATTACCACCAAAGACAATAAATAGATCTTAATTGCGCATGATCTAAAAATGTCCATAAAAACTGCTTTGCGTAAATTCAACTGTTTATCATAACCATGCTAAAATCACGAAACAGTCGCATATAACTTGATCTGACGACACAACAAAACCAGTCAGTGTTTGGTATTTGCAAAACAAGAATTACCGCAATGAAACAAGGAACTAGTCAGTGGTCGATGTTCAACGGGTGAACAAAAAGGATCTATTTTTATTTTTATTTTTATTTCTGGAACCAGTCGATCAACATAAATAGATGAATAAGTTACAGTGAATAATCTGCAAAAACCACATCCATATCAATATGATCAATATGGGAAGTAAATAAATAAATAAATTTGATAATGATGATGATGATTTTAGATTAACAATTCTCTTTCGGTAAAACACATGCCCCGCGTGTTATATACTACTCAAAAGAACACCCGATTCTTCACATTACTATTGTTAATATGTCACGGCATGACAAATTAACTATTGTAATGTGTAACTATTGTAAAGATGACATGATATGGTAGCTTCTAAAATGACGACATGACATGGTAGCTTCTAAAATGACGACATGACATGGTAGCTTCTAAAATGATGACATGACATGGTAGCTTCTAAAAAGATGACATGATATGGTAGCTTCTAAAATGACGACATGGCATGGTAGCTTCTAAAATGACGACATGACATGGTAGCTTCTAAAATGACGACATGACATGGTAGCTTCTAAAAAGACGACATGACATGGTAGGTTCTAAAAAGATGACATGATATGGTAGTTTCTAAAAAGATGACATGATATATTAGCTTGAAAATGACGACATGACATGGTAGGTTCTAAAATGACGACATGACATGGTAGCTTCTAAAAAGATAACATGATAAGGTAGCTTCAAGAATGACGACATGACATGGTAGCTTCTAAAATGACGACATTACATGGTAGCTTCTAAAAAGACGACATGACATGGTAGCTTCTAAAATGACGACATGACATGGTAGCTTTAAAATGACGACATGACATGGTAGCTTCTAAAATGACGACATGACATGGTAGCTTCTAAAATGACGACATGACATGGTAGCTTCTAAAAAGTTGACATGACATGGTAGCTTCTAAAATGACGACATAACATGGTAGGTTCTAAAAACATGACATGGTAGCTTCTAAAATGATGAAATCACATGGTAGGTTCTAAAATGATGACAGATATGGTAGCTTCTAAAATGACGACATGACATCGTAGGTTCTAAAAAGATTACATGATATGGTAGCTTCTAAAAAGATGACATGACATGGTAGCTTCTAAAATGACGACATGAAATGGTAGGTTCTAAAAAGATGATATAACATGGTAGCTTCTAAAAAGATGATATGACATGGTAGCTTCTAAAATGATGACATGACATGGTAGCTTCTAAAATGACGACATAACATGGTAGCTTCTAAAATGACGACATGACATGGCAGCTTCTAAAAAGATGATATGACATGGTAGCTTCTAAAATGATGACATGACATGGTAGCTTCTAAAATGATGATATGACATGGTAGCTTCTAAAATGATGACATGACATGGTAGCTTCTAAAATGGTGACATGGCATGGTAGCTTCTAAAATGACGACATGACATGGTAGCTTCTAAAATGACGACATGACATGGCAGCTTCTAAAATGACGACATGACATGGTAGGCTCTAAACTGATGAAATGACATGGTCGGTTCTAAAATGACGACATGACATGGTACCTTCTAAAATGACGTCATGACATCGTAGGTTCTAAAATGACGTCATGACATCGTAGCTTCTAAAATGACGACATGAAATGGTTGCTTCTAAAATGACGACATGACATGGTAGCTTCTAAAATGACGACATAACATGGTAGCTTCTAAAATGACGACATGACATGGTAGCTTCTAAAATGACAACATGATATGGTAGCTTCTTAAAAAGATGACATGACATGGTAGCTTCTAAAAGGATGACATGACATGGTAGCTTCTAAAATGACGACATGGTAGCTTCTAAAATGATGACATGACATGGTAGCTTCTAAAATGACAACATGATATGATAGCTTCTAAAAAGATGACATGACATGGTAGCTTCTAAAATGATGACATGACATGGTAGCTTCTCAAATGACGACATGACATGGTAGGTTCTAAAAACATGACATGACATGGTAGTTTCTAAATTGATGACATGGCATGGCAGCTTCTAAAATGACGACATGACATGGCAGCTTATAAAATGACGACATGACATGGTAGCTTCTAAAATGATGAAATCACATGGTAGCTTCTAAAATGACGACATGACATGGTAGCTTCTAAAATGACGACATGACATGGTAGGTTCTAAAAACATGACATGACATGGTAGCTTCTAAAATGATGACATGACATGGTAGCTTCTAAAATGACGACATCACATGGTAGGCTCTTAAATGACGACATGGCATGGCAGCTTCTAAAATGACGACATGACATGGTAGGTTCTAAAATGACGACATGACATGGTAGCCTCTTAAAAGATGACATGACATGGTAGCTTCTAAAATGATGAAAACACATGGTAGCTTCTAAAATGATGACATGACATGGTAGCTTCTAAAATGACGACATGGCATGGTAGCTTCTAAAATGACAACATGACATGGTAGCTTCTAAAAAGATGACATGACATTGTAGCTTCTAAAATGATGACATCACATGGCAGCTTCTAAAATGACGACATGACATGGTAGGTTCTAAAATGACGACATGACATGGTAGCCTCTAAAAAGATGACGTGACATGGTAGGTTCTAAAATGATGACATGACATGGTAGCTTCTAAAATGATGACATGACATGGTAGCTTCTAAAATGACGGCATGGCATGGTAGCTTCTAAAATGACAACATGACATGGTAGCTTCTAAAATGACGACATGACATGGTAGCTTCTAAAATGATGACATGACATGGTAGCTTCTAAAAAGATGACATGATATGGTAGCTTCTAAAATGACGACATGGCATGGTAGCTTCTAAAAAGACGACATGACATGGTAGCTTCTAAAATGACGACATGACATGGTAGCTTCTAAAAAGACGACATGACATGGTAGGTTCTAAAAAGATGACATGATATGGTAGTTTCTAAAAAGATGACATGATATATTAGCTTGAAAATGACGACATGACATGGTAGGTTCTAAAATGACGACATGACATGGTAGCTTCTAAAAAGATAACATGATAAGGTAGCTTCAAAAATGACGACATGACATGGTAGCTTCTAAAATGACGACATGAAATGGTAGCCTCTAAAAAGATGACATGACATGGTAGCTTCTAAAATGATGACATGACATGGTAGCTTCTAAAATGATGACATGACATGGTAGCTTCTAAAATGACGACATGGCATGGTAGCTTCTAAAATGACAACATGACATGGTAGCTTCTAAAATGACATGACATGGTAGGTTCTAAAATGATGACATGACATGGTAGCCTCTAAAAAGATGACATGACATGGTAACTTCTAAAATGATGACATCACATGGTAGCTTCTAAAATGACGACATGACATGGTAGCTTCTAAAATGACCACATCACATGGTAGCTTCTAAAATGACGACATGACATGGTAGCTTCTAAAATGACGACATGACATGGTAGGTTTTAAAATGACGACATGACATGGTAGCTTCTAAAATGACGACATGACACAGTAGGTTCTAAAATGACGACATGGCATGGCAGCTTCTAAAAAGATGACATGAAATGGTAGGTTCTAAAAAGATGACATTATATGGTAGCTTATAAAATGACGACAAGACATAGTAGCTTCTAAAATGACGACATGATATGGTAGCTTCTAAAAAGATGACATGAAATGGTAGGTTCTTAAAAGATGACATGACATGGTAGGTTCTAAAATGACAACATGACATGGTAGGTTCTAAAAAGATGACATGACATGGTAGGTTCTAAAATGACGACATGGTATAGTGGGTTCTAAAATGACGACATGACATGGTAGCTTCTAAAATGACGACATGACATGGTAGGTTCTAAAAAGATGACTTGACATGGTAGGTTCTAAAATGACGACATGATATGGAAGGTTCTAAAATGACGACATGAAATGGTAGGTTCTTAAATGACGACGTGACATGGTAGGTTCTAAAAAGATGACATGGTAGCTTCTAAAATGATGACATGGCACGGCAGCTTCTAAAATGACAACATGACATGGTAGCTTCTAAAATGACGACATGGCATGGCAGCTTCTAAAATGACGACATAACATGGTAGCTTCTAAAATGATGACATCACATGGTAGCTTCTAAAATGACATGGCATGGCAGCTTCAAAAATGACGACATGACATGGTAGCTTCTAAAATGATGACATCACATGGTAGCTTCTAAAATGACATGACATGGTAGCTTCTAAAATGACGACATGACATGGCAGGCTCTAAAATGACGACATGACATGGTAGCTTCTAAAATGACATGACATGGTAGCTTCTAAAATGACGACATGATATGGTAGGTTGTAAAAAGATGACATGACATGGTAGCTTCTAAAAAGATGACATGACATGGTAGCTTCTAAAATGACGACATGATATGGTAGGTTCTAAAAAGATGACATGACATGGTAGCTTCTAAAAAGATGACATGACATGGTAGCTTCTAAAATGACGACATGATATGGTAGGTTCTAAAAAGATGACATGACATGGTAGCTTCTAAAAAGATGATGTAACCGGGACTGTGTAGGTATACATGAAGACCAGACACAGGCTACGGGTGTGAGAAAAAAAAGTGACACAGCGCGAAAGAGGAAGTCAGCAAAATTTAGAACAATTATTCCAGGGGAGTCACCATGCAGTCACCTTAAAGAAGTGGCTGAAGCGTCGCCCAAGCTCACAATAGATATGTGTACCCTACCTACACACGAGTCCCAAAGAGGAACAGGTCAGCCGAAATTGCTGTCAGAAGGCGACCTAACATCAGAAGTGGCCGAAGTGCCGCCCACGCTGACCACAGAAACTAGCTTACCTCTGAGTTATTATAGACACGTAAGTACAGACACGTTTTTTGAGGATTTAGGGGAATATCTACAAACACATTGCAACTTGTACACAAATAAATATTTATTATTTCGGTGGTCCATCTATCCATATTTTATTTGTGTACAGCAGAGACCATATAATATATTTTCTCTGTTTTACAGCGACGAATAACTGTGCAAGAGAGATTCGAAGCACCCTTGCATGATGTTTGACGATCGTCACCCTTCAAGTCGAGACTTGCATCAAGTCTAGCTTACTATTCCTTGCAGGGTCGATGCATTGATCATCGCTGTGCGGAGTTTACATCTAAATATGGCCGCTGCGGAAGCATTCAACGTTGAGAAACTTTTGTCACTTTTGAGAACATGCCGAGGAGAGAAGAACGAAATACTAATAGACATGTATGTTGACGCATACGAGGAACTGGGAAAGTAAGAATATTTGTAATTCGACCCCTGTCTGTTTTTGATGGACACACCAGACGGTAGCATATGAAGGTCCGATTTTCGATCACCCTTACCTCTGTGTTGAGGAGGTGATCGAGAAGTTGACGAGTACAGGGTGATATTCGTTTGTTGATTTGGCAACAATGCTTTCTAACGGGCGCAGCTTACCATAACGCTAATTGGCCCAGGGTGCCTACTGTGGCTCTCGCTTCACAGATCTCACATGCCTCTTCAATACTTAGTGTTAGTTGTGTTAGGCTCAGGGTAGGTAGCCCTTTCGTTCCGATCAAGCACCCCTTTGCGATCTTTATGGTTAGGTACTCCTTTCCGATCAAACACCCCATCACGATCCTTAGGGTTGGGCACCACTTCCCGATCAAACACCCCATCACGATCCTTAGGGTTGGGCACCACTTCCCGATCAAACACCCCATCACGATCCTTAGGGTTGGGCACCACTTCCCGATCAAACACCCCATCACGATCCTTAGGGTCAGTTGTGAAGTAGCAAATTGTTTAGCTGTCTCTTTTAACTACTTACTCCAATGTAATTTGAGGAAACTCCATACAATTTTTATCTAGTTTCCAGTTTTGCGAAGAAAATGGCTTCTGCACATAACGATAAACAATCGGGTGCTGATGATTTGGTAAATGAGCACCAATTATTTGTGATAGCACCCGTGGACCAGTGGTAGGGTGTACACTGTAGCTTAATTAGATTAACTTATTACTGCTTAGCTTCAAGCTGGCAACATGAGTTTGATCCTCCAGTAATTGAAATATGAAAAAGTGCGCCCGGTAAAGTGCACTACTCCTGTTGATTAGTGGCCCACAATTGTAGTCATCCACTGCCGTTGCAGTGTGCAATTTTGCCAACCAAGGAAATTAGCTAAACTATGGAATAGAATTATTTGCAACCGAGGTCGAAGCAGGCCTAAAAGCAGTGACAAGACTGCAATTTACTGGGTGCAGCATATGGTGCTAATATTGGCTCTCACCTCACTGATCTTGTGATCATTTCCCATCATTTGGATTAGTACCTCTTTCCTGTATCTTGGGTATAGTTTTGTGGGTTAGCATATAATTTAGCTCTCTTGCCTCTTTTAACGAATTAGTCCAATGTAATCTGAGGAAAATAGACAATTTTTATGAACAGACATTAAACTGTCAACCTGATGTGTTTCAGTTGGGTTTAAAAAATATTTTTAACAGTGCTTTCAGTTATATCTTATCAGCTGAAACTCCTTAATAATATGGTGCATTTGAATGTCATTTCTGTAGTTCTAGACACAACATATACGCTCAACATGTAGGCCCACTGTTAATGTTGATCATTTCTTTCTTAAAATTTAGCATCAGTTGATTTGTCCTGCCGATAGTGGTACTTGTATTCACACATTGTCATAATGTTTCAGACTTCTGGTTCTCTTCGGGAGTGTTTTTGGTTTTGTCAACTCTGATGTAACCAGCAAGGTTGAGATTCTCCGAGCCTATCGGAGCTCAGGACAATCAGAGAACTTTGACTCCATCAAGTCCATGCTGGACTACGAGGTCAAGAACAATCTCACCGCCAGGAAAGACAAGCCATCAGGATCTCGCACCCTACTGCGCTTACATCGAGCCCTGGAATTCATCGTGCAGATCCTGGAAGAGATATGCAAGGGGGATAAAGACACCAAGATGGCCACTGTCTCCTTGCAAGCTTACAATCGAACACTTGCTAAATACCATCCATGGCTCATCCGTAAGGGCGTCCACATCTCCTTCTACACACTGCCGGGGAGGACTCAACTGCTGCAGCGGATGCAGTTGCTGGAGGAGGAAAGAGCTCAGGCCGTCCTGAAAGAGATCATTTCGTTGGCCGATAATTTATACACTGAAACACAGGTGCTGTATGCGGATAGAAACCTGCTTGATCTACCATAACTCCTCCTAGGTATTTGTCCACATCCTACAGTGTATTCCTATCTATGATTCCATCTTCTATGTGATAGGGCATGTGCCAATATTGGGTTATACAACTTCTGCAGCTAACACTTGTAGTCTTATTATTAGTCACTTGTGGTAAGCAGTGTTTGAAATATGCATGAAAGTCAAGGGTTCCATATTGTTAAGTCAAAAGTTCCAGGCTTAATGTTTTTTAGTTCATCCAGTGTATCATATGATGGTGAATGGGTCCCAGGTTGCTATCATAATAGAATGGATAACTGAGGAAGTACACTGAAGGACCTTGGTCTTCTTTGATTTCCAGCACTGTTAAGTCCATGTCTCTCCAGAAGTCCCATGATTTTATTTCTGCAACAAGGTAAATAGAGATTATAACCCTTGTGTGCACCAGTATCACAAATGTCATATGTTTGGAAAAAAAATGTATTATTCGAGCCTTGGCCTCATATACTTCTAACATATGATATTTATGATACAGAAACGGGGTCACAGGTGGCCCAGTCATCTGAGGCACAGCGATTCTCTGTGCAGAGTTGCCTCCCTTGGGCACGCCAGAAACCTATGATTGTGGATTTGAATCCCGGTTCACCCCGATTATGTTTCTAGGTTTGTCAGCACCATACCTGTGCTCGTGAGTTTCACCGAAGTGGTAAACGTCTGAAACCTGCATCACTTCGGGCTTTCCTCCCACATTAAGCTGACACGCCGTGATTTTACAAGAGTTCTGTTAAAGCGGCGTTAAACCCATCTCAGTCACTCACTCACTATGATACAGAACACATGATGATAATAATCTCTTCATCATATGTCGGTCTAAACATAATCAATGTTTAAGACATATTTTTATTCGAAGAAGTAACTTCAGAAACTGCATTTGAAACCAATGTTTGAGAAAACCGTCCCATTTACCATATAGTGCCAAATTAGTTGCAGCCGTTGCTTGTCTACAGAATACCCCTACATAAACTTATTTGAAACGATAGTCAATAATTTATTCAGTATGCTGTCATTGTATTGATGTATGGGGCTTGAAAGTAGTTCCTGCTAGGGGACCTCATTTGCATATTCATAGGATCGTGAATCCAAGTTTATGTGATTGGTTTTTCACATCGATAACACTATCCATTTCATGATAACTATTTTTATTACACCTAACAGCACATCTTTACACACTGCACAACAAATGAGACCACATGTATTTACATTATTATGTTTTGAAAAGTTATTGTTTTATTTTAACACTTTAATCAGAAAATATGATAAACAAAATCTCAGTGGGCTAACAGTGAAAGAACAGAGAGTTTTAGTTTTAGTTGAGTTTTAGCTTTTTATGCGGTCCTGAGAAGAAAACGTATCTACCAAATGTAAACATGGATCTATGTATTTGTTTTTACATGGCTACAGCTGGGATATATTAAAACCAACATCATGTATACAGCGTTTGTTCTGACCCTAATGGTAAAACCTGAGATTTCTGGGGACCAAGATACACCTACAGTAAAACCCAAGGATCCCAGGACCACTTTAATTTTGAATCCTTGTGAAGATCCGGATTAGTATTGGTCTCATCAACCCATGCTTGTCGTAAGCTTGATCTCGGCGTCCAACATTCCCACAGTTGTACAGTCAATCACCACTGTGTTGATTTTGGTAATCGCCAAGTTGATGTCAACACTTTACAGGTTTGTACAGGGAGAGAAATTAACCAAGAAATTCTGCTAGCCTGAATTGTGATATCATACAGCAATAACCTCCAAAATGTAAAAATTTCTCTGAGCCCTTTGGATACCTTTAACTTAAACAAAACTGAACGGGCAAGCAGGCTAGTGCTTATTTCTGTCTCTGTGTTTCTATCATCCTGAATACATTGGGTCAAGATCTTGTGTAGTGAGACTGTGGTCATGTTTGTATAATGTCAGCTAATGAAATGAGGCCATGAAGCAGTCTGGTGTTCACTGCAGTGATATTGCTTGAATATTGCTTAAAGCGACATAAAAACCTACTTACTCACTATAGTAGAGGTTGCATAGTTGTGAAGATATTGCACACAATGTCAAGAGGTGTGAATGGAATGCTCATTGGCCAGAGCCGTCACTGGTTTCCTTCGCGCTGGCCCAGTGGGGATTCCGGGTTAGAATTGGTCCCCAGAAACCTATGAGGGCTGGGACGAGTCCAAATTTACTTCCCGGGTACCCAACCCCCTATGACCCGACCCTACCCGGGTACCCACTGCAAGTCTTAAGAGTAGGGAACAAAATGTCCGATTGGTAATTGTTTTACCGCAGCCCTAGCTAAAACTATTTAGATATATGTTTCAAACAATCAGATCATGTGTTCACTGAAGTTGACTGAAGATTTATCTTTACTTAAACATATACAAGTCAAAAGGAATGAGTGCATCGTCAGAAAGAAATGCGAAACATTAGCAACTTGTAGTGTAACCACTGATCTATAGTACGTTTTTGTCATTATATCACGGGACTAACCACGTGGGTACTCGGGTCCTACTCAGGACCCACCCTACCTGAGTACCCGAGTTACCCGTCCCAGCCCTAAAACCTATGCCAGTCATGGGCATTGAAGGTTTTGAATAGGTCACCAGCAGCCAATGCCAGTCGCGGGGATTCCAGGTCAGAATAAGTCTCCAGCAGCTTATGCGAGTCATGGGGATTCCAGGTCAGAAAAGGTCCCCAGCAACCTATGCTAGACATGAGGATTCCAGGTCAGAAAAGGTCCCCATCAGCCAATGCCAGCCGTGGGGATTCCAGGTCAGAAAAGGTCCCCAGCAACCCATGCTAGACGTGAGGATTCCAGGTTAGAATAGGTCCCCAGATCCCCATGCTAGTCATTGTGATTTCAGTTTAGAATAGGTCCACAGCAGCCAGTAAAAGGCGACCAAACAGATTGTTGACGTGGCTGATGGCATGTCCTCATACATAGTATGATATGTTATACGTACTAACTGCACTGTTAAAGGAGACGTACCGCATTCGACGTAATAAGCGCCCAGGGCGCTCTCAAAATTAGAAATAGGGGGCTCTTATTAGAAATTTATTTTGGTGAAAAAAACATAGTTAAAGGATAAATTTTGTGGTTTATGCTGACAGCCTGAAATGTTTATATACGACATATATTTTTCCAGAACTTAATTGCCCATAATTAAGGGTGCATATAACCCACGAGTGCGTATTATACGCGAATAAATAAGTCTTGTGTATATTGATCAATCGGAAGAGGTGCTAATTGGGATTGTTCACTAGCCAATACATTAGCAAATATCACCGTTGGCGCTTATTAGAGCGGGGCGCTTATTACGTCGAATACGGTATGTGTTCAAGGTGAAGGAGGAACATAGAACATACAAACCTGAAGTATTGACCTTGACTTTTATCAAGTCGGGTTTACAGCTAAATGAATAAGCAAGCATTCCAACTTTTTCTGTCAACATGTTCAACACAATGATGTTTGACTGTACTGACAATTTACACTGAACCCTGATATGTAGGGGTGATCTGTTGAGTGTATTGTGTAAGATATATCTAACTTATTTTGGATTATATATTAACCATATCAATGACAAGAATGATATACATCAAATATGTTATAACATGGTCATATATCATATGATTCAGGACCAGAACTGATATATCAAATGTAACATCAAGTTTATCATGTAGGAGTTATGTATCAAATATATATATATATATATTGCCAGGTATAAGTATTGGTAGAAGAGTTTATACAGTGTAGTTAGTGATTTGTTGGTTCTGGCAAAAGCACATTAGATGTATGTTTTATTGGTTGTAGTTTTAATTGACTGTTTTATGAGTAGATGTAGAAACTGTGAACCATTAGATCATGCCTCATTAGCTTAGGTTACTCACCATGTCAGGGACCAGTTTGAACCAGTTTGAACTAGTGCACAGCCTCTGTTCTGTCTTAATGTCACATGACCCCCAGAAATTGAATTTGTTTTCAAGGACGTCTCTTGAGACCTGGTTTCTGGTTATGTACTAATTATCCCCTGCCTTTACATCCACCTCTGTATGTCATCCCCCTACTGCCCCTTTATAACCTCTCCTTACTACTCAAGCCATCATACCTGCTCCTTTCATCCTTCCCTTTTGTACCCACTTTCATTCCCCCACTTTATATCCTTCTCTTTATATCCTCCCCTTTTCCCCACTCATTCATCCCTTCCTCTTTATATCGACCCCTTTATATCCTCCTCTTTATATCAACCCCTTTATATCCTCCTCTTTGTACCGACCTCTTTATATCTTCCTCATTATCAGTCCCAGGCTAATTCTGTGATAAACTGATCAAACATCTGGAGTAAAATTTACGAAATTCTGCAACTGAGATTACCTACTTCTGCGGTAAATTTCTCCCTAAAATACAAACTCATATGCATAGTGTCACTGATATTGGATGTTATGGTTGGATGTAAACCCACTAGTGATAATAACGTTTATAAGTGAAAATTATTTATTTCAAATTTTGTTTATTTTAGGATTCATATTTTGTATGTTTGAATCCCATGTTAATGTTTGGGCATCATAGAGTGCAAAATTTTATAGAAAAGGTTGAAAATAATGAAAGATAGTGTATTGATTGATTAAAAAGATTTGTCTGCAAGTCTGTGGTCATTTACATTTTCTGCCAATTTTTCTGTGATCGTGGAAACGCAGAATGTGCTGGGACTGCATTGTACCTTCCTCTCTGTCTTGTTTATACCTTGTCTTGTCTTGTCCTGTGTGAACCTGGAGGTGAGGATGGCACATTCCTCCATCACAAGCCAAGGTGGGGAATCAGGGTATTGATCCAAATGGAAAGGGGATACAATACCCTGGATAATAGAGGATGGTGCTGGAGGTGTGTTGTGGTGATGTGTGATCATTGTGATGATAGTAGTGATTTGTGTTCCTATGTATAGTGTTGTGGTGTGTTGCTTCATAGACAAATAGCAGGTGTGATGAAATGTTATGCAGCTTGTGTTTATTCAGACAGTTTCCACACAACAGGTTTTGATCCCACCTACCTCTCCTCTTTCATCACCGTTTATTTGTGATCTAGAACAGAGTCAGGTTTTTGTTATTGTTTTCAAGATTTTTTTCTTGGAACAGGTCTTGGTGGATTGTAGTATGATGTAGGCAATGGTGTTATATGGGTGTGTTTTCATGTCAACAAAAGTTGTATTTCTCAGTTGTTTCAATGTACTGTATTCGCCGTAATAAGTGCCCTGCTCCTGTCAGTGCCTCGTAATCAACTTCTGGACCAATCTGTGAGTAATGTTTATAAGCATCCATTAGCCATCACAAACCATAGTTTCTTGTGTATTTTACAGATTCTTTTTACAGAAAACAACAGTGTAGAAGGGAATACAAAAAAATATTATATAAATTTAACTTTCATTTACAACAAATTTGACTTGTGTGTGGTTTTATTAAACATCCAGGGTGCTTATTACGATGAATATGGTAATAGAAAAGAATTTTGAAACTTAGATATGTACTTGTATCTTTGTAAGTTTATCAGTTGTGTAACACAGATTATTTATTTAGTCCTGCTTTTAACA